GTCGGATGCTTTATAGCTCCCATAGTTCGTGATGAGAATTTCAATAAGTTTACAATAAAAATGATCCGGTACCACTTCGCCGTCCGAGGAGGGTAGAAGTCTCAGTTGGCCTGAGTGAGACCCAAGCCGGAATTAACCCTCGGACCTCATGCGCGATAAGCGCATCACTGCAGCATCCCCTCAGATCATTTTTATTGTAAAATTATTGAAATTCTCATCACGAAGTATGGGATCTATAAAGCATCCGACTGAATGGACTCATCCTTCTTCTGAAAAACCTGGCTAGGGATAACTAAAGCTATACCTTCATGAAAGATCATCATGGATGTTCTAAACTATGCTAAGTTTTGAAAAAAAAGATGCTACAATTATTCCCTGTATTAGTTCGTGAATACGGTAATCTGATGGTGAACTTCTACTAATAGAGAAAGTACTTATTGACATCATAAATAATTTGTACGCTATTGTCGTGAAGCCAGCCTTATGAACTTTGAGAGATATTCCACAATAATAGGATAAGCAGATACTACGGACTGTCGTGCCTTCCACATTGGCAGGCTCCTACTAATACGGTAAAGAGCGGGGATCGCCAACGACTTTGGTTATGGATCTCCGCCTCTCCGATTACCGCGGAACAAATCCTTCACTTGCAGACAACTAAAAATTCTGTGCGGTGTTGTTACGATGCTCTTGAGAGTGGAGTGCAGGAATAAGATTGCAGAAAAGAAATTTTGAGTAGATTGCACAACAGGAAAATTTTAATAAGTACATTCGTCTGTTGACTACATTCTGGTCAAGATACCTTTTATGCCAGGAAAGGGTCTCGTCGGATGGTTTAGAATTTCTTAACAGCCAAGTGGTGGAGAGGGTTCCACAAAGATCTCACTAAAAATTTCTAATGAGGGAAGCCGATGACGTGATCGCAATAATCATCACTCAAACATAGAGCTATTACCGCAAAGGCACGTTCTACTGTTGGGCTGAATTTGCATAGTACAAACTCCTTCCATCTCCCTCAATTGAGTTCTTCAGTTTCCCTCCTGAAAACTGTCGTCGGAGGGTATGTAGCGCCAATGTCGGCAAATACGATCCCCTCGCTGATGATCACCAATGTGCGACGTGCCCCTTTGCCGTGAGTGGGCCAGTGTTGAAAAAGCGATCTAACTTTTTTCCTTTGTTCATTATGGATTTTACTTTTACTTCATGAGTTCCTTCTGACATGGAATTTGGTTTTTTAGAGAACATTTTTTTCGTTTCGATGGATAAGTTTCAAATCCTACCAGTTACTGGAAGGGGTGGACTTCTTTCACGAACACAGCTACGCGTAGAGTGGTTGTATCGGTGCAATAAAATAAAGCGTTCGTCGATGATCAATCCCTTTCTGGAATGCTCGCGGCTTGAAAGCCATATGGACTGCTTAAAGGACTGCTGGGCCAGCCGGTGTACAAGTCGTTATCCTCCGAGACGAATCTGGTAAAGACTTTTTGGTCCCAAAGGAATGAAACTCCCCACGGCCCCCATTTATCTCGACACCTATTAGGTCATCCCATTCAAAAGTGCCGTCGGTTTTATTCGAATAAAACAAAGAGGAGAATAGATAAAAAAGTAATATTTTGGCTTCAAGTTGAGTAAATCCCTCCTTCACCAATGACCCGCTCCCAGTGCCCCGAAAGCCTTTGGACCTCTGGTACCTTCATTTTTCCGGGGCGAGTGCGCTATCCGTTACGCCACCACGGCCGCTTTTACCGTCTCAGCTTAACTGCTTATGCCGTAACCTTACAGCACTCACACGTTTAACTTGTGTGAGTGCTGTAAGGTTACGGCATAAGTCTTCGGCCACGCGGTTCCATGCCATATCAACGATTACCCGTGATGGCACTCACCAAGTTAAACGTGTGAGTGCGTAAGGTAACGAGTCTAAGCGTTAGAGTGAGAGGTGTAAAAGCGGCCACTGGTGCGTAACGGATTAACGCACACGCCCGAATGCGCGAATGCTGGTTCGACTGAGCCGGCCTGGGGGCACGACTTTTGGCCCATAAATGTCATTTTTGATGATAACCATTCGAAGCGTACCTGGGCGATTAAATACAGTTATCATAACAAAAGCAAAATGCGAATAAATGCTGTTGATCGCCAATTTCGGCGCATGAAAATCATTCAGATACAATTTGAATCGCTCGGCTTCTATATCGGGCGAATGAGGTGATTGAACCGGCAGGTTCTCAGTATTGTTTGTGTCCCAGCACTGATCCTACAATACAGTTACTCAGGATCTAGCACTATGACGAGCAACGATGGCCTTCTTGTGTTGTGTGGTACCATCCATTTGTCGATCTGAATTGCCGAGGATCAGGCAATATACACCGACATCTACGATTTTATTTTCTGTATAGAGCGCCTAAAGCCTCACAAGTAGGAATCCTTTTGCATCGATGATCATCCACTTGCACCCACGTAACCCCCTCATGGTAGAACTCGGTTCTCATCTGCATTTATACAAAACTGACGGCTGACAGTAAATCCCTCCTTTACCAATGACCTGCTCCCAGTGCCCCGAAAGCCTTTGGACCTCTAGTACCGCCTTCGATTTTTCAACAAGTGCGAGTTAATTGCTGTTGATGCCAATTTTGGCGAATGACAAAACATTGTAGCGTTTGCCGTCGGAGAGTACTCTCGACTGACGAGAACAACTGAATCGCTCGGCTTATATGTCGGGTTAATGGGGCGATTGAACTCAGGTCTCAGTATTGTTTGTGTCCCAGCACTGCCCTACAATACAGTAACTCGGGTCTGGCACTATGACGAGCAACGGTGGCCTTCTTGCGAGTTGGCTATCATCCTTTTGACGATCATGATGTACGAGGAAACAGGTAATATACACCGACAGCGAAGATTTGATTCTCTGTATAGAGCCGCCTGAAAGCCACAGTGTGGGAATCCTTTCGCTATGATGATCATCCACTTGCGCCCACGTAACTCTTCATGGTAGAACTCGGGCGGCTTCTCATCTGCATTCATACAAAATTGACGATTGTGAGTTTTGGCTCGAGGTCCAAGACCACCCATATTTCATCTAGGCCGGGGTGGCGCTTTCCACATTCGCGAATGACATCTCGAAATGCTGCAGAGCATTATTGCGGAGAGGCATACGGTACTGCGTTCGTTGCTCTTCCAAGAATATTAGGTACGACATCGCACATCCTCTCGCCATAACTCAGTTTTTATCGTCATAACTCGGCGAGCAGTTGCAGCTGGGATTCAGACTCGCGGAAGTCCGACAAAAGGTCAGGCTCTGTGATCACCAGATATTCCAGTACCGACTTCATCCACTAGGCCGTTTTTTTTCTTGTGCAGCGGAATGAATATTATGGGACCAACACAATTTTTTCCTTTCTTCCTTCTTCGGGCTCCTGAACCAAACCTTCCACCTTGTATATCGAGAACACCATTACACACAACTACTGGTCCGGCGCCGGTCGAAATTTGAGCAGCTCACTTCCCTCTTATGGCGTGTGATTTGGAAATCGGGCCCTGATTTTCACTAGCACCGGTCTTCTTTTCCAATTCTTGAGAACTTCTTCTGTGGGCGTAGGCTTCGCTTCAAAAGTTGACAGATACCACAGCGCCTAAAGGGTGCTACAATCGCTCCAAATGGTATAGTGGCCCGCTTCCTTATCCCCTTTGCTTTTCTGCCATTCCTCTATTTTTCTCGGCACTTTTGAATGGGATGACCTGATACATACCAATGTGCGCTGGTCTGCGTGGACAAATGGCTGCACGCGGCCAACCAGCAAAAGGGAAAGAAATCTTCTCGGAGTAGAAACTGGATGGATAAAAAATGTGGGTGGTTCGTTTGCGTGTAGCTCGCGCGATTTCCTATTTCAATACCTATTGATGGAGGGGGAGGTTGTTGTAATGGCAGGGGTCCTATCACGCGCATCGCCTGGAGGTTAAATTGGCTCCCACCCAGGACCAAGTTCTCTACCCTCCGAGAACGGTAAATTAGTATCAGATTCGTCTGGGAGGATCAACACGGAACTGTATATAGCAAGTCATTGTATAGGGCTAAAACCGCACCAAAACCAATAACGTTTTCCGAGTGAAGGCAACAATACAGACGCAGTCCCAAAAAAGGGCTTGATGATGTCAGAAGTTTCACCGCCTACTGAGAGTCTGCTTACGAGCAGCATGAAAAAAATAGTGTGTATGCGTAGTGGTTGTCAGAAACCAGAATCCAACAGGGATTCGGGCGTGCCTCAAGTGACAAAGGCAAACATTGTGAACAGGTCACAAGAGGATGAGCCTCTGTGGCAAAGGATAAATACACACCGTAAAAGGGCTGACACGTACAGCATTCCCCTTGCCCTTTTCAAATAAGTTGTGAAAATGGTTTTAGTTTTATTATAAAAGAAAACAATCGCTGAGTATTAACAGGAGGAAATTCCATATACAGAAATGAGGACACGGTAATCTCCCGTCTCATAGAACTTTAGTACACCATATCACAGACAACAATAAAAAGCAAATATGTAAAAAAAAAACAATTATTAGGATACCCAGATAAGGGCAAGATTGCAGTAAAAGTACAAAACTAGTAATGCTGACTTCGAAAGATTCTCAATAACAAGGAAATCCTACTTATGTATGAAACAATAATTGACAAAAAAAGGAAATTAATCTTTGCTCTTTTTCATGTACACTCCTTCAGCTGCTTTCCACAATCCGCCGTTTGTAATGCTGTCGGTCCCAACAATCTAACAAGTAAATTTACGACTTTATTGGAGATAGAGGAGGAACATATTTTTTCGACGGAATGGCGAAAATATACCTCTCTCTGGCCGTGGATTGGCCTGCCGAATTGTTGTCCAGACAGTGCCAGGTACACACCCGTCTCAACGTGCTTGATCTTTACGTTCTAAAAGTACGCTGTTAGCAATGAGTATAAGCCTCGATTTATGCAGTCTATGTGGCTAAATCCGTGTGATGTGGTAAGTACACGCTTACCACGCGCGCAGTCCGGGGTTCAAATACCGGATCGTCTCCCGCTCAGGTCAACCAAGCCTTCTACCCCCGGTAAATGGCTTATTCGTCTGGGAGGTTACGAACATTGTTTTATATATCGGCTGTCGCCCGCAAATCATTGTGGTCACATTGTATCCAAAAAGCCACAACGATTCTGATCAGGGAAGTCCGCCAACCCTACCATGGAACTTTGAATGGAAACCTGGGTAGATCGATAGAGTCTATAAGGTTATTCACAAATATCATAAACAAAACTGCAACCTGCATATCACGAGCTAACTTATGAGGAGTAAAGTTTCTGGCATTGGCGTAGAAGTGGAGCTGGTGTGAGCTGTGAAGATAATACGATCGGAATCGCATACGTAGAATCGAGTCGTCGAAAGTCCAACCTTACCACTGAACCACCACGACTCGATTCCACGTATGCGATTCCTCGCTTATGCTTCACAGCTCACCACCAAGCCTCCACCCTACTGCACCATTACAAACTTTACCTGCTCATAAGTTGCTTGTGAATGCAGGTTGCAGTTTTGCTATCTATATTTGTAAATAACCTTATAGATTCTATCATCTACCCAGGTCTCCATTCAAAGTTCCATGGTAAGTTGGCGGACTTCCCTAGTGAGTGGAAAAGTGCATGCCGCCCCAGGAAGGACTGAACAACGGCGTAGACACTAATCCTTCAACCATTTATGCTGTCTAAATGACTGGCCAATGTTGCATAGGTCGTTGACGGTGGGGAGGAGGGGGGACAGCGGGGAGGGAAGGAAAGATGGACAAATATGCTTCTCTAACGGCACCGAGGACCGCATCAATACAATAAATGACGGCCCTAGTTGCGCTTCACGACAGACCCTTCTCAGTTCCCCATGCACCAATACGAACCTGGCAGTATATAGCAATGAAGGGTCGTATTTTGTCGCAGGGATACTGGGAGGAGGAAGTGTTTGGCCTTGGCTTTCTGATAGTTGATTTTACCCGTTCCAAGCGCGTTTATAGCGGCTCTACTTTGCGCCCGCTCAATTGACGGCAAATTTTCGGAGAGATTGGTGAAGTGAAACAGGTATGTCGGGAAGTAGCTAGCTAGGTAGTGAAAGGGGGGTCACGCTGATTTATGAATTTGATTAGGGATCGCGTTATACGCTGCAAAAATTTCACACAGCGCGGATGTGCCCTGAGTGCAATGCTCGCAATGAATAAAGCTAATACTCCCAAGAGTGAGCAGGAAGCTTGTGATATGAAACCCACAATTAAGTCTCCCATTACTTTGACTCGACCGAGTCACTTTTCTCCGTATCCAGTTCCATAAATTTCAACGGAAGTAGGGGACAGAATCTCGAGAATCAACACTCCTTTACTGTTCCATTTGCTATTTTAGTTTGTTTTCTAGGGGTACCTTCGGGTGAACTTCAATGAAGAAAAGCTATTAAGGAACCAACTTCGCTCTCCAGCCAGTCTTCCGAATTACAAACAATTTGCCAGTTATCTCCGGTATCACTCTGAGCTTGACTTCCGAAACATGATATTTCCTAAATAATGATTTGGCAGTGTTGAGCAAGAACTATCATTATACTGGATAGAGCGAAAAAAATGCGAAAAATTCGAATCAGTGATTTAAACTCTGATTTGATAACATCAAGTCGTTCTTGGGAATGATTCCACAGAGCGACAATCAAAAAACAATCCCAAACGTTAGGAATGGCTCATTCCCAAAAAAACATATTACCTGATAATGCTTAGATAAAGGTGCTTGGAAGTGATGAGTATGCAAGAAACAGCCCGTAGTAAGATGTTTCAAGCGAATCTTGTCACCGCACTTGATCGGATCACCGCGGTGACATTCCTTTTTCAGAGCTGCAAAACATATTTTTGCTACTTTGGGAAGTAATAATTCGGTCTAAGAGTGGATATTTTAAGGACATCATATGCACAGCTAGAAATATATCAACGGGAATGAGAACTTTCGTCTCTTCGTCTAGGCCTAACATCGGAGAAGCCTCAAGGTGAACGAACTGATTCAGAGTACGGTGATTCTGTTCGGTAATGTCAGCTCCGCATGAGGAGTCCTTCGAATGCCCCCTCTAAGGCTATTAGTGTCTGGCTTTGTTATAGCAGTTTGCTATCATTTCACGACAACCGCATTTCGAGTAGAACAAAGTAATTATTGAAATAGGGACGTCAAAAGCAGCAAAGCTGGATGGTCGTACCGCGACTTCAAAATCCCCACCGAGTCAGATCCATGATTTGAAGCTACATAAGCACAATAAGCCAGGTTGTGCGTTCATAGTTGGCGTCAGAGTTTTAAGGGACTAGGAAAATAATGTACTTATCCAGCATCTTCAGCGTACGCCAGCGTCTCAGCGATTATGAAACATAGGTATCAATCTAGCGTTTTAAGCGTACGCTGGTATACACCGGCGTACGCTCAAAATATTAGACCTTTCCTAGTAGCTCAAAATGCTGACGTACACTCAGTCGCTTAAAACGCTGACGCAAAGTAGGAACGCACTCTAAGGTTGACCCACCTCTAGTACCTTTGGCCAACAGAAAGGAAAGGAGTAAAGGACCGCTGAGTGCTGAAAACGCCCCTCTGATGCCCGCCCGGCAGACTATTGTTCGTAGAGAGATTTTCAGCGAAGTAGTTCGATTAATGACACTTACCCGGATAAATTTGCCAGTGCGAATTGACATCGTCGGATTGCGTCACAGCGGTGACCGATTGCTGGCCACTACCGCTTCCGTATTTGACATCATGGGAATGAAGTCGTGAGCCTTCGTTCGCGTTTGCAAGTTTCAGTACTGATCCGCATGTAACCAGCTCATCGTCATACACGTAGCCAAATGCGACGTGAGTTGTGGCCAAAAACAGGATTAACCACCTCATTTGGATCTGAAATGCTGTCGAAGAATTCAGAAAATAGCATTAAAATTTGAGATATTAAAGACAATTCATAATTCGAGCATGACTGGTGCTCCAGAATGCCTCACATATAGCAGCAGATTGATGCGAGTAAACAGTACATAAGCAAGGCTGAGGACTCAAATACTTGTGGCGAGACTAGAAACCAAAAGCCCAATGAGAGTTCAAAAATGAAAGAGCCCAAAAATTTTCAAAATTTACTTGGAAATGTTTTAAGCCTCATATTGTAAATACGTGGGTAATCACACTGTTTTAAACATGAGACAATGTGATATACCCAAGTATCTGTCATATGAAGCTTTGGTACTATAACAACACTGAGATTGCCGTCAGTAGTAGCTCAAATACCGTATACAGAAATACGGTATAATACTGGATGACAGTCGGATTAGAGTTTCAGCAGCTTGTTACAGTATTTGCTGCTGGTGCGGCTTCGTACATAGGAAGTTGTATGTACTTCATATAGGGAATAGCGTGACTTTATAACGTGGGGCGTTTTTAGACATAGAACCTAAAAAAATCCAAGGCACTTGAGAACAGGAAAATTCTATTACTGAAAACTACTGGGAAAATAATCCCTACATGGTCTCGAAAAGCGAAAAGAAATTGCAGCACTTCCAGATCTTTCTGCCTCCCAGGCTTGGACGAAAGCCTTCATCTCTTGGACTAAACTACAAGTCATTCTTTGCACCTTGCGGTATTGATTGCTGGTCAACCAAAAAAAACAATTGATTTTGTGAAGAATAGTAGCTGAAGAGCGGATATTATCTGATTATTGGCTAAATTAGTAAGTTAGATAATCAACGACGAAACAGTTAAATAATGTAGCATTCATGAAGACCAATAGTGATTAAACTAATGAAGTTTATGGATCAGAAGGGCACTCGGGCACTCAGCTCCTCAATTACACGTCAAGGTTGGCAATGTTCCAACCTCACAACAAGTTTGCGCCAGTGCGGTATTGATGACACGAACATTAATTGGTTACGGTAACGCTGGCGTTCTGCAATTTCCAAGTTGTCACTCATATTTCGTCATCCCCCACTTTTCGCTGTTTTATATTTTCCAGTTTACTTTTTTATTACTTTTCATAACCTGAAATTGTGTGTGTGATTTTGCTAGTAGAGTGAGTTGGGTGCTAACGTAGTTGGAGGGGGCCACGCGGTTCTCGGCCAGTGATGACTCATCGACTCTTCTTTTCATGTTTAGGACATAGATATAAGATTGTCCTAGCTATATTCAAAAGATAAAACAGTTAACTCTGAAGAATGCGAAAAAACAGTTGTGGACAGGAAAATTTTGCCTAAACTTGTTGCTTTTTTGTTGTAGACCGCTGTTCTTGACTACAAAAGATCATACAATGTTGTTTTCAGTTTCTGTGGGATTTCTCAGCAAGTTTCCGGTGAGTCTTGTTTGTTTTATTCTAATTTTGCTGCTAGATTAGTATGTCAACGCTGCTATCGATCGATGAGTCATCACTGGCCGAGAGCCGCGTGGCCCCCTCCAACTACGTTAGCACCGGTGGGTGCTAACTAAAGTGTTTGTAGGAGGGGACCACGCGGCACTTTTACTCCATCTTCGCGCTGGTGTTTGGAACAGTCCGTAAAAGATTCCCGGCATATTTAGTACGAGAAATTGATCATTTGTGTATAGAAGGGGGAAGTGGATGTACCCACAAAAAAATTGTTGGAAAACATGGCTTGGTGCTAAATTTTCGCCTGTCCATTTTGATGCGGCGCTTTTAGAACGGGGGGTAGGGGAACTCCTAGGTACTGCGGAGCATCCGAGGCATTTAAAATCCCTCCTAGGCATAGCTCAAAACCCTCATCCCCTCTTTTACAGTTGCTTCCGCACACTTCTCAACGCTAAGTGCCTCACCTTGTTGGAAAACCACCACACGACGGTATCAAGTTCATGTTCTAATTCCACTCCCCCTTTCCCCCCCCCCCCCCAAATTGCGAAGTCACCTCGAAAGAACCCTCGCTGGAGCCAGCCATACACGCGGCTGTTTCGGCAGGGTGGGGCAGAAGAGCAACTTGGTTCCTTCACGAATGAGTTAGCTTCGTGGGTAGCCGTTGGATGTACATCTTCTATCTCGGGCAGATTCGTCTTGTGAATCTTAGTAATTGCCTTTCAAGGTCTCAGGATACCTCTCGAGCGCGAATTCTCCCTCCTCTAACCTTTCTCCTTCCGCCTTGCTTCATTTCCTTCCTTGCTTCTCTCGTCCCTCCCTTCAAATGTTCGGTCAGAAGATGAGAGGAGAAAATATTTCCTCACCCTCGCAGTGAGAAAAAATCAGATTGACAAAAGCCTTGCAACTGTCTTTTGGTCCTATTCTTTCTCTCACAGCAGAAGCGGCGAGATAGCAGAAGCGAAAGTCGAGTTTTTGACAGGGTCTGGAGTGAAAAACGTTGCGTGGTTTTGGGGTGTTCCCACTAAATCAATATAGTTTTAAAACTGTAGACTTCCCGAACATCCGTCTGTTCATGTCTCACTTAAAGATTCCTTTGTTACTATACATGGTTGATTGCCTTTCCTTGATGTTGCGCATTTAAATTGAGTACGATATGAATTATTCCAGGTCCACCATGGCGTCGACCATAATGACGATAACGCCACCAAATGTGTCGTATATTCAAATGGATTCACTTGTCATTATGAAAATCGTCAAGCACGTTGACAGCGAGCTTTACGCTGGCATGAGTGAGGTCAGCTTTTCTCTGGTTCAGGCTGTTTGTTAACCAAGGGGAAGGATTCATCATTATTCAATTTAGGTGGCCGGTGAGGCTTGCCAAGGTCTCTTGACAGGTCTTGTGTCTGTGGAGAAAGATGACAGCCGTTTAGAAATCACTAACTGCTTTCCTACAGCTCGTGCAGAGCCTGTCTTAGAAAGCGATGAAAATGCAGCTCAGGTTCAGTCTTTCTCTTTTTCCTTCATTCGGTAGTGGAGCAGTATTTGTTTTCCTAATGGTGTCCTTCAGGCTAATCAGATGTACGAAGAGCTCAAACAGCAGGAAATGCTAGATATGTTGAGGAAATTCAGGTGCGTTCTGTGTAAAGCTCTGTTCTTGGGTATGGAGTACAAAAGCTTCTTTAGGAATATGAATATCGATTATGAGCTCGTAGGATTCTATCAAGCGCATCCATTTGGGGCTTGTTTCTCACAGGATCTTGTGGATTCAATGTTCGATTATCAGAGCAATGGGCCCGACGGCGTAGTTATCATTTACGGTAGTTATTATTCATTAGTTAATTAGAGCTGTTCTGTCTTTCCTTTTCATGGGACCATGAATGTTTTCGGCACTATTCAACTATTACTACCCCAGTTTTGCGAAAACAGGCCGGATCTTGATCGACTTTTTTCTACGGGGGCAGATTTGGCTGAAAGTTGGGTTCTAGGGGTAATTCGACCTCCTGAACACGAATATCACATCCACTTGGCCTGAAAGTGCCTGGCGCCCGCGCCACAGCCAGTGATTTAGGGCATTTTGGCGCCGGCGCCTTTGGCGCGGGCGCCGACTATGTGATATTCGTGTTCAGGAGGTCGATCTACCCTTGGGTACAAGCTTTCAGCGGGGCAGTTTCGGGCGGAGCGGGTCTGATATTCGTGTTCAGGAGGTCGAATTCCCCCAGAACCCAACTTTCAGCCAAATCTGCCCCCGTAGAAAAAAGTCGATCAAGATCCGGCCCGTTTTCGGAAAATTGGGATAGTGATAATTGAACAGTGCCGTATTTTCTTCTGTTGCGGAGGTTCTGTGAAATGAATGATTTTCTTTTTTATGGCTTTCTCTGTACTGGGTACTGGCACTTTCAGATCCTGTAAAGACACGACAAGGGCAGCTTTGCTTACGCGCTTACCGTCTGTCTGTACCGGCGCTCGAACTCTGCGCCAAAAACGACTGGTCGCCGGACGCGTAAGTTTGCATTTTTACCGTCTGTGCTATACATTTTCTAACGTACGGTGGCCTGATTTCATGTTTCAATCCTAATCAGTGACAAATCTTTCTTCATTCGTTCTCATTAGGTACAGAGCGTAGAGAAACAAAGTCATGTTGGAATTCCCGCTGTGCAACATTTTTATGCTCAGTTGTCGTTCTTGCTTGAAGCCTGTTCGTGTTATTTCCAATTTCAGTGTCAAGGCAGCTAACCTCACTTATCAGACAATGTTCGAAGAGTTGCCGATAGTTATCAAAAGTAGTCATCTAGTCAATGTTATGATGGCTGAATTGTCCTTAGCCCCGACTAGAATTGCTGACAGATTCTCAACGCATCTTGAACTGGGATCTCGGAGGTGAGTCTCAATTACCTTTTGCAAGCATACTTGCCCATTTATACCGTCATCAAGGTATGTAGGCAATGTACACTTTTCTTTCAAGACTTCTTTGCTCCTCATACGAAATCCTCCTTCTGAAATTTTCTGGCGGCTACGTTATTTTTAACGTTTTCTGTTTCAAATTGTCAATCAATTTCAATTTCTGCTACTTTTCTCAAACCTTGTTGCCATCCATCTTGGTAGCTGGGCGGAAGTGGTGTAGTGCCATGTGAGGCCGTAAACCATGTACACGGTTCGGCTGGTCTCGAGTCAACTATACGCTCCCCCCTCCCCCCCCCCCCCCCTTCCCTTCGACTGCTTAAGCCTTCCATCGCCCTGAGGTCAAGTGGGTATGAGAATTGTTTGAAAAATAAAACTCTAACTCGGCTTGAGATGGTCACTGCAAGCCAATGTGTAAGCAAAATTGCACTCAAGATGTTGTCGCGATTCTAATCAGAATGTGCCATGCACAACGAAAGACTTTTTTAACGGAGGAAGCTTCACAGTTTGTCGTGTTAGCGATACTTCGTCCTTGGCGTGATTTGATGATTTCTTATATCCCCTTCCTGGTACCCAGTCCCTGTTCATTAAAATAGTGAAGTGGGACTCTGCGCTCAACTCTTCATTTTGAGGCTTTCATCGGGAGTTATGCAGCTTCCATGTTCTCTAAAGCCCGCTTTTGGTTCCTCACATCCATTAGCTTTGTAATGACAAGCGTTCAAAGCGTAGCCATTAGTCGTCAGACAATTCAATCACTTGATGTTTTGCTTTCCCGGATCATCGTTAGAGCTCTGTTGCAAAATAACTTAGAAGTCATGCTCAATGAACCTCGGCATGTTGATAGATGATTGTTCTTCTTATTAAACTGCACTCGAGGCTCGAGGTTTTCAACAATGTTTATTATGTGGCTGACGTTTCGGTAAGATCACCTTCTCCGAAAGCTCCCTGGACTGTGCTACTCGTAGCTGACCTGGTGGATCTGGCAAATACGGTAATTTCCTTTCCTGATTGGTTGCGTGATGGCTAGGGTGGGGTCAAAGGTCTCTGTGAGGGAGTGAGGCATTTGGTCGGATACTTCATAAATTGACTTCCTCCTTTCAGGCTCCGAAGAAGGTGATCTCACCGAAACGTCAGCCACATAATAAACATTCTTGAAAACCTCGAGTGCAGTTCAGTGAGAAGAACAATCATTCAACCTAGAAGTCTTTGACATTTTATTCTCGCGTAGCACCTTCGTCAGTGAGCTGAATTACGCGGTCGGCCGATACTTAATTTATCTTCAGTGATGGTCCCTAGAAACATCGTCATCTGATGGGGCGTCGCTTGGAGCGCAGCCAGATCAAATTTCTCACCAGTTGTAGCGGGCGTACGGTGACATCATTGGTGGAAAAAGGGCGCTCTGGCTGCGCGCTATGTCACACGCCCTATCAGTTGCAATGCTCATGACTATATATTTCATCTATGTTCTGCGAAAAGGCATTTTCGACCGTATTCCGGATTTCATACTGTGAGGTGTAGTACTACATGACAAGAGTATTACACTCCTCACCGCGGTTCTCGTTCAGGTCACTGGAAAAGAGCGTAAGAGCGATGATGGCTAACATTGATGAACTCAAC